GCCCACTGCTCTGGGTGTGTGTTCACTGCTGTGTGTGTGTGCACTTTGGATGGGATAAATGCAGAGCACTAATTCCGAGTATGGGTCATGTCACTTCACTTCACTTTTTCACTTTATTTGATGAAAAACGTACTATTGAACAGAGGCAGATATATGCAGATGCTATGTGCTGTCACCGCAGTGGAGGCCTTGTCTGAGTCAAGTGCATGGGCACAGTGGTGCTCAATAAGTGCTTAGAGACATAATACTACACTGCAGTACATTAGACAGTGAGCTTTCATAATAGCTATGATAACATGCTGATGCAGTATCCAGAGTACTGAAATCAATGTGAAATTGTGGTACATTTCCACAAGTACACAGGTGTTTCCTTGGGACACTTTTATGTCCAATCATAATTTTTTATTAAAACTAGCAGATTTCAGTTTTGTTTTTGTTTTTGTTTTATGTCTTGGCTGCTTCTTTTAAAATGTGGTATAAATATACGAATATACACTGCTGATCAAAAGTTTGGGTTGGGTAAGATTTTTGAATGTTTTTTTTTTATGCTCACCAAGGCTGCATTTAGCTACTCCAATCTAATTCTTCAGAAATCTTTATAATATGCAGATTTGGTGCCCAATGGAACATGTCTTATTTTTATCAATGTTGAATACAGTTGTGCTACTTTGTGGAAATAGTGATACATATTTTTTCAGGATTCTATAATAAATATAAAGAATAGTATTTATTTGAAGTAGAAATCTTTTGTAACATTATAAATGTCTTTACTGTAAGTTTTGCTCAATTTAATGCATTTTTGCTGAATAGATGTATTAATTTCTTTCAAAAGATTATACTGACCCCAAGCTTTTGAATGGTAGTGTTTTTTTTATCTTAAAATATGACAATCCATTCTGAAAATATTATTACCTTTGTAAATGAGGAAAACTTTAATAGAATCCATATTTATTGACTGAAAATATTATGAATTGTTATACAAATTACAACCATAGTCCTGTTGATTGACATCATTTTTATTCAAACCAAAAATTTTGCACCTATTAAAGTTCTTTGTAATATTGTACTTGTGTACTTGTTTACCAAGGAGACAATAGAGTTAGTTAAAGAGCCTGAGATTAAATGTGAATCATTGTGATGTGTGAAGAAATATCTCTTTTGAACAGAACATTTTCATAGTGCATCTCCATTGTGCATTTTCCAGTCAGGCTGTAAATTTGTGAAAATATTTTGTATATATTTGAATCATCTTGAGTACATATTTAAAATATTTTTTTAGTCAGTAAACAAAAATATCATTGTTAGTGCACAAATTAAATAAATTAGTAAGAGTGATAAGTGTTTTAGGGGACTTCATTTTCTTAAAGTCCACAGGGCCAAAAGTGCCCGTAGATAAAGAAACACCCGTACACACTTCTCCGCCAATTAAACATTTGAGTGTCTGGGGGCAAGGGTCCAACGAGTTCATCACAAGGACGCTTCTGGGTTCGGTGCAGTAGTAGGCCTGTTTCTTCCGGCAGAAACACAAATCCAGGCCTTCGTGCCTGAAAAGAGATTCACAGTTGGCGACGGAGCGATATTATCCGGGGCTCTGAGGAGCGGACTGCAGAAGAATGTGAAGTTGGAGACTCTCGTTTGGCAGGTCCCTTGCTGTGTTATTTAACGATTGGTGAGCATGTCAGCCTCACAGCTGCGCCTTAAACGACTGCCGCCAGCTGAGGACGATACTTGAACACCTGATTTTGCCAAGATAAGGATCTGTTTCCATTACAGAGCTGGCACTCTTCACACCAGCTACCTTGTCTTTTGTTCAGACTGACTTGTTTGCCACAAAGACGTTGGGATGTGACATGATTCACTTTCCAGAAAAGTTATTGTTTTGAACCGTCTTCTTGCATGATAAAGACTGTTGAGAAAGGAGAAATCCCAGCTGGATTTAATTGTTCTGACATTCGGACAGCATTCAGAGAGAGAGAGAGAGAAGGGAAGAGAGTAGAGAGAAATCTCAAGTATGTTTGAAATGGAGTCTGCTGAAAACATTTCAGCGGGACTGTATGAAGTCGGGCTGTTGGGTAAAAATAGTTCCTCTGGCTCTTGTCTGTGGAGAAATGTTTGCCTGGAACTTGATATGTCCTCCATTGACCTACAAGTATTGATTAAACAATATTGTTTTCATATTGTTTGGTCTGTTATTAACTGCTCATGTACAATATCATAATTTTGGATGTTAAAAGTTTTGTGGCTTTAAATCCATGTCAGTTATCTTTAAAGCCATCTGTATGCTAGTGTACTCCTAAATGCTAACAAAATTAACCTTCTGCACTACACAGATTTTTTTCCAATGAAATGCTATCGGAGAAGAATGTCCCTCCCCCTTAAACCAACTGCAACTCACTAACAGTAGCAACTAGCAGATCATGGTTCATGGCCAATTGATTTTTTTAAAAAGGGACAAGCTATTTGATATGTTCTGTCCAAACAACCTCTTTCCATAGCAAGTACATAATACAGGAAGGTAAACGGTGTTCTTCAAGCAATTTCATGGTCTTTAATAGAACAGTCATTAGCATTAAAGGGTTAGTTCACCCCAAAATGAAAATTAGGCTGCGTTTTACTCACCCCCGATGCATCCTAGGTGTATATGATTTTCTTCTTTCAGATGAATCCAGTCAGAGTTATATTAAAAATTGTAAGACTTTCTTCCAGACATCAATCCAGAAATAATGGAGGGGCGTCTCTTAAAGTTTTCCTGACAGGGTGCATAGGCGGAGCGTGTGTAAGGCTGGCCACAGCGAGTTGGGGCAAAAATGCCACTAAATTGGACAAAAATTCCCCTGCACAAATTAAATATATTACGACTGTTGGTAACAAAATGAAAATGAATAGAAAGTGTCGATTGCGGCATTAAATTAAGATCTGCTCATGTTGCACCGAATTTCATTTTAGGTGTTTTTACAGTGTTGCGCATTATAACCAATCACATGCAATTCTGTTGAGCTTAGGAATGCAATGGCCATTGCAGAGTTTTGAGTGCACGCGCGTTCGCTGACTGAATTCCGGACGCGCAGATGTATGTACAAGAGATTCATTTCACAGTGTTGACAGCTTAAAGGGGTCATATGATGTTGCTAAAAAGAACATTATTTGGTGTATTTGTTGTAATGAAATGTGTTTATGCGGTTTAAGGTTCAAAAAACATTATTTTCCACATAC